AATATTGCTCTTGGAAATTAATGACTGGCTCGGTAGCCGGAGAGGTGGAGGACTGTGTTTTGAACTGGCATTTTGGGGCATTTTCCTTCTGGTTCGAGGTGGGAGCAGTTAGTCCGGCAGCTAGTGGTACATTGCTGCATCCCCCGGTAGGTCCCGGTCCCTGCAGCCGTGCTGCGCTGTGGCAGGAGCAGAGAGGAGAAGAGCACGTGAAAATCACAGAGAAAGAAATCAAGGAAGCGTGAATCTTCCTGCCCACTCCCCTCCCAGCCCCAGCCCGGCTCCCGGCGTAACCATCGATCTGTTGTGGAGGAGTTAACTTGTTCAGAATAGCGATGCCGCTCAGAAAGGCTTCGGTGGACCCCGCTGCGGCTCCCGCCCCCCTCCTGCCCAACACGCAGGCAGCAGCCCTGCCGGGGTGGCAGTCAGGGAAGGGTGCATGGGAAAGAGAAAAAAAAAAAAAATAGCATTTCCTCTTTTCCCACTCTTTTCCATGTGAGGTGGGAGGACGGTGAGTCGCAGCCAAGGATTTGGGAGGAAAGAGATGTTGCTAGAGGTCCCTTCTTGGTTTTTCACAGCCGACAGAAGGGAGAGCAAGCTGAGAACTTAGCAGCAGAAGTTGCTGCTTCTCTGAAGCGCTCGGAAAGTCCTCTCCCCTCCAAGGGAGAGGGCTTGCTGTTGGAAATAGGTGATTTTATCCGGGGTGCCGAGGACCCCAAGCTGCTGTCAAGCAGTGGTGCCCTGCCAAGGACGCTCTTTTCAGCTCCATCGCCGCCACCCCTCCAAGCAGAGTTAATTCAGCACCGGAGAAAGAAGCTGGACTGATGGCCGTGAGGAGACTCCCCCCGTTGTAAAGGGCACAGGCTTTGCTCCGTGCAAGCCTGGCTACCGTAAATCTACTGTTAGGAGCCAGTTTAGGACCAGAGTCACCAGAGATGTTTGGATATATCCTTCTGTCTCGTGATGTCTGCTGGAGGGTACAGTCATGTGTCTTGCTTTGGTACCAGCACTTTAGATCACTGTATTAAATTTAAATCTAGGGTTAGACCTTGAGACAGAGCTACCATCTGGGATATGAGGGGCAGGATTCACTCCTGGATGCAGCAAAACCTGCAGGAATAGGAAAAGGGTTTGTGGGTGTTGGGTCCAGCTGCTCGACGTTTTTATTGGTGCGTGCATTGGTCCCTGAGCTGGGGCTGCTCCTGCTCTTAGGTTACACCTAGGACTCGCGTGTATGACAAGATGGGTCAGGGCTGTCCTTCTTGCTGCCTCTTGCAAGGCCACGTCGTGAGGATGAGGCTGGTCTGCATCCCCTCCCACCATGTCCAGATAGCATCTGCCCTCACCAGTAGCGAGTGCTTCACGCTGGAGAAGACCCGCACTGAACTTTCATCCAGCGCTTGAACCACATCCAGGCGTTGCCGAGACCTTTGGAGCAGTTCTCTCAGCACCAAAACAAATGGCTTGATTATGATTTCACTTTAATTGGCATCAGTCAGCGCTTTCCACGGCGAGGCTCTGACGATCCGATCAGCATGCACAGGCACTTGCGTGGTATCCCCCCGAATTTGCCAGTGCCCCAGGCAGATGGCGTGCAGATCTGGCTGTAGGACGAGGGCCACTTCTCCTCCGTACATCTCTGGGTTTTTTTTGGCAGGGTGATGCAATGCCTTTATTTGTTCCCCTTTTGATTCAAATGCTAAAATTCAAATATGAGTTTAACATGAGTCAAAGCTTTTTTTTTTTTTTTAACCCTGATGTTTCCCGCAGTTTCCACTCAGGTTTTGAAAAGGGCCACGCACTTTGCCACTAAGCCCTGCCATGGTTTACCTAAGCCTGTGTTGCAAATTTATTTTGCCCCTGTTGTGCTCTTGAAATAATTTTGGAGAAATTATATCTTGGCTGTGAAACAAAACAAAATCAAGCATGTTTGTTTGACGAATGCAAACAGAAAGTACTTGTTTGCTAAGCAGAAAAGAATCTTTCTCAGAAATGGGTCTGTTTTCTGTGACTCTTTGCTGCCCCATCTTTCCCCCTTTATCCACAGGAATTTCCCTTTTTGTGGTGTTCTTGTGTCATACAAAAAATAGGGCCGGTCTCTGATGGATGACAGCGTGATGTGTTCCAGCACCTGTGTGTCTCCCCCCGTGCCGAGGCAGGGCTGCTCCTGCCGGGGCTTGAGCGATGGCGATTCTTCGCTGAGGTTTTGGGCAGCTGCCTTTGTGGTTTGCAGTCAATGAGTGCAGAAAGCCTGCCAGGGCGCAGGGGAACCCGCTCCGGGCTCTCTGTCCCCAAGAAAGTGGTGCTTGCCATCCCCGTAGCCTCTGGGCTGAGCGATGGGGGGCTCACAGGGCCCTGCCAGGCGCTTGGCACGGGGCTAGGCTCCTAGTGCAAATAAGGAAAGCAAGGTAGGGCAGAGGTTGTTCATGCAAGGGTTCAGCTCTGGTTGCTAAAGCTTGTTTGGTAGCTGTACAGCTCTGTGTCCGTTTTGCTGGAGGCTCCCCACTCCCACCGCGCCCATCGCTGGTGGTGGGAGCTGCAATAACCCCAGCGAGGGGTGTTGCTTGTCCAGCCCTTTCCCACATGCTGGCAACCCCATGGACACCCTGAGTCACACGCTGGTCATCACAGCACTCCCATCGCCTGCCCTGCTTGGCCACCTCCCCTCATCCTTGCACAACCACCAAGCTCCTTATCACCAGATCCGCATGCGTCTCCCTCCCCAGGGCTCGCCTATGGCACGCTGCTCCCGTGAAATATTCAGCCCATTCTGATGGTCTCCAAGCTCGGTACCTGGTATTTTTTGAGCCTCACCTGGCAGAGACCGAAGCTCCTGGTTGCTTCCCAAGCCCAGACCAGGGGGACATAGCCTGGAGTCCAAGGTGTAATTACTTTGCTGGTTACCGAGCAGCGAAGGACTTCTGAGCACATGGGCTTGGATGCGACCAGCCCCAGCAGCCCTGTGGGCGTGGGGTGAGGATGGAAGTAAGCTGCCAACTCATACATTAACAACCAAAGTTTATTCTCCTGACTCCAGCACGCTCGCCTTCTCCTTCAGACCTCTCTCCTTTTT